CACACACACGCACCGATCCCGAGGTTTCACTAAATGTGTTTGTTTATTTTCTTGTCATAACTGTCGTCGAAATGTATTCAGGTATCCCGTCTCTTTTTCGGTTAGCGAGGCACATTCTGTACTTCTTTTCCCAAATTCCTCAAACGTTTAGCTGAGCGTAACAGGTATGGATGTCTGTGGTGTAGTTTTCTGCGCAGGCTTGTTGACTATTTTCATTTCCTCTTTATGGAGCTATCTGTGTCATGCTGTTGGGAGAGAGTCTGCCACTGGCGCGCTTAGCACTATATAGAGGTGGAAGGTGGCTGCAATGACATTTTTTTTGTGTGGACGGATATGCAGCAGCAAAGAATAACTGTCTGCATTCCAGGCTTCCGTTGAAGAACACACTCTCCTCCTTGCCTGCCACTATTTTGATGCAATCAGTGACATTGCAGAAGGAAATGGAGAAGATAATGGACAAAATAGCGAAGATACACAATGAATCAGCGGATTGTGTATCCATCCATTTGTTCTATGCTTTGAGCAGGCTCATGGGCACGTGGTTTGTTCATGGGAGAGCTCACTTTGTGCTTTGATTTGTAAGCTTGCACTTCTATCTACCTCCTGTAAGAGCATAATGGCGATGGGAATTTCCCTCAAGCATCTTTTTCAGGATTTCAGCCTCTGTATATATACACCCCCTCTCCTCCCTGGAGGCTGAGCGGGCAAAATTCCTTTGCAGGCTCGATCACTTACTGCTTCCTGCTACCCTTCAGTTAGGCATTCCACAGTAGTCTCTAGCTGCTTGTCCTGCCAACAACATGATGGCACAAAGATAAACAATGTCGTAAATAGCTGAGCAGAAAGTGACCATAGATCCTGACGAATCTGAAGTGGATTGAGAGAGGCTGAACTGAGGCATATACATGTATATATGCATATGCATGTCTATGCACATTTATGAGTAAGGGTAAATGGTCCATTAATGATGACATGCTTTGGAATGTCGTGGTGGCAATTAGGTGAAAAAGGAACCCTATACTACTAAATGAAGCTGTGAAGGTGTGCCTTTCATGTTGGAAGGAGTATCCTGCTGAAGTATGATTTCTCCATGGTTTTTAAAACACGGTGTGGCAAGCAAGTCCTGTGTTAACTGTGTTAGCTCTGTTGGTATTCTGCACCGCAGCATCTGCCCACGCTCAGAGCTGATGTGGCACTGTCATTAAAGTTTAAAAAGTGAGGAGATTTAAGAAGTCCTGAGTGAGGACATCTTTTGTCTTGGGAAAGGGGAACAAAATGTCAGTTTCTTCGGAAATGGATTTTACTGAAACCCTAGTTTCTTGTCTGACAGTAAATGGTTTGCCAGGGTGCTGAATTAGCCTAGAATCAAGAAAGATGATGGCTGTCATACTTACGTTGTCATTCGGAATTCCATCTGCCTCTTGTACTCGAATATAGATTGGTCGCTGGTGAAGTGTGCAGCCATGATGGAAGGACTGCTGCCCTTTTGCAGCCTCTAATGTGGATACATTTGATGCCCTGCTTTTTGACAGTTTCTTCAGTTATTCAAATTTGTCTGAGCGTTCATATTGTTCTAGAGCCAAGCCTTATCTGGTCTCTGAGCTAGTATCCAATTACGTTTGCAGCTCAAGGGTGCCTGCACATGCTTTCATCATCTCACTGTTGCCCCAAATTTTGAGCATGGGCGCTCTTTTCACAATTATGGATTGGCGTGATGCTAACTGGTCGATATGTTGTCCGTTGTTATACAGGTACGTGTTCTGTTGCCCTATTGACCTTTTTGGTGCTGTTGGGAAATGGAACTTCTTTTGGCAGACTCAGAGAGGTTTCATACTATGGGTGTAATTTTTGTGTGCCATATCCATATTTGGAGCACAGAGAAGTGATGCCCAGGCACGCTCTTTAGCACAGGCAGTAGTGCTGCTGGTATCGCACAAGATGTAGTTATACATTTGCTCTGTTGCTAGGAAGTGTTTTGTTGTTGTGGCCTGAGATCTGTGTATGTGCCATGGGTGTAGCTCCCTCGTGTCCTCTTCAAGCACATATGTGACAGGTTGCATTACACAGTAATGCTCCAGTGTCACGCATAGCTTTCACGTTACAGTCAGAAAGATTGTTATTGTTTATTGGTGAGACAGCTTTTGTTGGATGCTGGACTTGGTTTCTAGCATCTTCGGGGTATAATTTGTAAGGGGTTATAGTTGTGAGGTCCTCGGCCTTGGACTAGGTCTCTAACGTCTTTGGGTTGTGATTGTGAGGGGGATACTTGTGAGGTCCCCAGCCTTGGACTATAGCTACTTACCGTACTAGTTTTGTCAGCTTCGGGGCCTGAACATGGTGGTCGGGGCCCCTTTCTCATCATTGGATGCTGGGACGGGTGGTTGAGATTTGTCTTGAGATGCTATCTTGAGAATCTTGAGATTTGTCCTGAGATGCTATGTTGAGAATCTTGAGATTTGTCCTGAGATGCTATGTTTTGTCGACACCTGGTTGTGTGAATGGCCAACCGGTGGATTGTAGGAAGCCGTAGATGCGAAAAAGAGTGCAGAACAGTCCTGGGCCGGCAACCGGCCGGTTGAGCTACCCCAGTCCAACCGGAGCCGGACCAGCCCAGGGGGGGTGAACCAGAAAACCGGTTTTGAAGAAAAAGTGCCCAAATATCTTCTTTTTTTTTCCTTTTTTTTTGACAGATTCCGACTGCGCTCTTTGAGAGCTGTCGGAATCCGCAATAAATTTTTTGAAGGTGCAATATTTTTCAGGGGGCTTCCAGAGGGGGGCAGGGGGCAGGGGGTTATTGACATATTCAGGCAACTATGGCTTCCACGGGGAGGGGTCAAGTAAGCAAGTTCACTATCTGACCCCACCTTGGGTGGAGCACTTCGTGGAGTGAGTCATCTGATATTATTACCCCACAAGCTGAACCAGAGATGATGAGAGGAGGTCCTTGCCAGAACTTTATAGCTCTTCCAGAGTATAGCTCGACATCAGAAGAGTTATGGGTGCAGCTTTCAGCTCATGGAGGCAGAGCGTTTTCTGTTTGTTCTTTTCTACATAAGGCGAGTTACCAGTCCGGAAGTATCCTGCCTGGCAGTCTGTCCAGAGACATGTAGTGGAGCAAGGTCCATTCGAGATAAATAGGGAGAAGAATATAACTCAGGTCCATTCTTGGGCTTGCACCTCGGACGGCTCTGACATCACGATTCCGAAATCCGAACCCATAACTTTGTCCACAGATGGCAGGGACGTCGCAGAAGGATATAATCTCAGCAGAGCCTCATCACAAGCATAGTGCTCCCCTCGTGGCTGAGGGTGAAAGAGCATCAAATGTTGCCTGGTCCGTTGGACAACAAGATGACAAATTGGAGAAGGGGCCTACCCGACCCACATCTTAAGAAAAATGTGTGGCGGTTCTCCGCTGCTGATCTGCAAAGATCAGCGGCGGACATCCTCAGCCCATTTTTCTTA